CATGCATGGATGCAGGTTCAGTGTTGTCAAATTTATGATTATTTCTAAACAAAGAGAGATTGCACTCCAGAATTATATACAAAGATTTTTAGATTCCAGATTCACTTTTTTTTTTGTTTTTAAATATGATGCAGATGAAGCAAAGTGAATCTCCATGTGCATTCGGCTTCCAATAGAGTCTACAGACTAAAGGAGAGAGTTCCTGAAACATCAGCACATACTTGAACATTGCAATTACATACAGGTATTTGCTTCTTTGAAAATGACTCAAAATAATTTTCTTTAGTTAATAATTTGCTCATATCTACTGAGCACGGGGCATTCAACATTCCACTCTTTGGAATGACCAAATGGGGACTTTGTAGACCTCTCCTCAGAAGAGGAAAGGACTGTTTTATCCATTATCCACTATGGACCAGATACCTAGAATAGCAAGCACCTAAAGGCCTACAAAAATGCTCAAAATGTGTGAGAGAAAATAGGTGAGCAACACCTACAAAAAAAAAATCCTTCAAAATTAAAACTAATAAATGTATAACTAAATGCTTACCAAATGTAAACATATGGCTTACCAATCAATCACAATTCAGATAGCATATATAAAATCATACTAAACATGGGATATGGGTTCATCTTAATGTTTGAAATGGTGCAGAAGGCAGCCCAAATTGTAAATGCTCAGGGCCGGCCAAAGTTCTAAAAAGACTCAGAATAGTAACCTAAAACCAAGCACTCTACTAGAAGTCTCATTCTACTTCGTACCTCTCACAAATGACATTACCAAGTTCCTTCCACTCATTCTACTGAAGAACACAGTTGGACATGGGAAAAGCACTGCCCACATAACTGAACATAAACTATGTATTGCTTATCACTAACTTTTGAATCCTCACTTGCTTATGATTTCCCTAAGATAAAAAGTTACAAAGCCATACAAAAGCAAGTTGTGAGGGGAGGGTCCCACAGAATGATTTTAATTGTATAATTTACTGGCAACATTTGAAACTGGAGATGTGTATTATAAATTTCAATGTCATGGCAATAGTTTACTAAGGGTGAACAAGGGACCCCTTGGGAGGGGCATGCTCTCTTCTTGGCACAAACACTCTTGTCACGGAGGTAAACTGGCTGCCCCTCCAGACAATATGAGTATCTACATTTACATATACATATATATATGTATATGTGTGTATGGGCATATGTGTATGTGTGTATGTATGTATAAAACTCTGGTCTAAAACCTTTGGGAAAACCTTGTTTCTTCTTTATAATGTAGATTCAACCTCTTATTTGAAGACCTGTCCATGAAAATATCTCAATTTATTCTCAAAATTCAACACCCACATTCCAGACCTCAGAAATATCTTAGTTAATTCTCATGATGGTGTAAGATACAAATCTAAGATGTTTCCATCAATTTCCTCTCTCAAATATATTTTTCAATTTGAACCATGGTGCAGCACCCAAAAAGATAAACAAATTACCCTAGTTTCTTTTATCCTTCAAGCTAGCCAAGATAAAGTTCAATAAGGTAGAGTCAAATCACTAACACTATAATATCTTCATTAAGCAGAAAGATCAATAAATGACACACATGGTAATTAGAAAGGAAAGTTTGGGACTAAGGAAGTAAAAACAACACAGCACTAATTTACATAAGTGTAAGAAGTTAATAGCTATATTCTGAGATGAAAAGAAAATCCCAATAATATGCAGAAAAAGATGAAGTAGTCCAAGTTCATTATTAAACCATAGTATAATTTAATCTCTTATACCCACATTCAATACAGTATCTTATTTGGGGGAAGTAAACTCCTAACAACTGGATGCTGTCATACCCAACATATTATTTTCTTGTTAAAAAAAAAAAAGTTACTTTGAATCCAGGGAAAGAAAAACTCCAGATGGATAATCAATGGGCCACCAATTCACTTGAATAACATAATAAGGACTTTATTTATTTATTTTAAATATATAGATTGTGGTTTAATTTGCTAGCCACATCAGGAAAAAAGAAAAGAAATGCTCTAACTGTAGATTTGAAATTAAAATGGAAATTAGCCCCGAGAAAATAGAGATGCCTGTAAGTTTATACATCAGTGGCTGGTTCATGAATTATTAACTGATTTTAATGATCCTGGCTATATTTTATTTGAAGTTATTCTCCTACTTGCAATGACTTTTGAACCCTCAAAACTCTTTCATCCATTCTCTGTAGATAGAGTACACTTTCATGAGCGCTGACATTTAAAAAGGACCCACATACTCCCAGAATAGAAAAGATAATACACTCACATATAATTTATACAAAAGACTCTGGTCATTTGTCAAAGAGAGAAATGAATGAAGCCCTATTATTCACGGTTTGTAAATAAACTTAAAGATAAGCGCTAACTTTTCACTTCTTTTAGCATGGAGTAGAGAGTTCTTCTAGTTTCCCAGATGGTGGTTAAGCAAGAGCAGGTAAACACATACTTTTTTTTTTTTAATCCTTCATTTCCCCATCCAAATAGATAACACAAAGTTTTCAAAAGTGAAGTCTTAAGAGATTAATAATTACGGTTCAAATAAAATATACGCCTGCCTTCAGATGCTACATTTCACATCTTCAATACAAACCTACACTGAACAGCAAAGGTCTTCAGAAACCCAAGTTAGCTGTGAAGCAAAATGCTATAAACCTTTAATTACTACTTGCTGGTTTATACTCATGAAGTTAATACGTCCTCTTCTACCTCATTCTCGCTACAAAGACAAATTGTAGAGAATAAAGTTGCGCTTTCCACTCCTGAGATTAGAACTAGGGAAATACAGTTTGTTTTTTACCTATAAGCAAGTAAACACAACAGCCCTTATGAATAAGTGATCCCATTCAATGTTTAGTGCTGTATCCAACTTTCCCAAATTGGGTATCCACTGCACTTATGATGATCAGACTGCTGAATTACTGAGGAAACATGTTATTTCAGATACATTGCTGGATTCAGAAAATGACACCAGCGCAGCTTGCATCCACCCTCCTGAAGTTGAACAAGCCTTCAATAAATAAGGTGTGTTTTCAAGCTTTATATACCTTCTGAAATAAGTGCTCTGAGTTTAAATTGACTCAAAATAGCCTTTCTCAGAAAAGAAAGAGAGACACACACAAAACACCCACAATTTCTTGCGGTCCCTTGAAGTACCCTTGGGATCCTAGTGAACAGAGATTTGCCACGCATTGCAGCGTCTGGATTAGTACAATAGATTTCTATTTTGGTGTCTTCGAGTGTTGCTGATCTTAAATAAGGGAAAGAAGCAGTTACATTAGACAAGGTAATGGCTTCCAAAAATAAGAGCACGCCTAGTTTATACAGGCTTGCATACACAGGCTAAGTTGTAAGGAGATAAATAATACCCCACTGGAACAATTAGTTGGATTCTCAGAAACACTATGTACTTAATTAGGCTGCCTAAGTCCCTGACTGGGTATACATGGGGGACTTTTTTTTAAAGCATTTAATAACCCGAGTAGTAAATCCAAAATCAGAAGACAGAGAGCAGTCAGTCCTAAACTCCAGGCTACAGCCCTGGGCCTTTTTGTGCTTTGCTTTTAATGCTTTACTGTGAAATTCGGAGAACATCAGTCCCTGTCATCATCACAAAAGAGTTAAAAACAGCAAATTTAAGTCCTTCTGCTCCACACTTATTAGGAAGTAGCTCAGTGCAAGGTGCGTGGCCGGCCCGCGCGTCGACACAAGGGCGAGCAAGAGACCCTAATGGTCGTTCACAAACTTCAGCACTGGAGTTGAGAGAGGAGCGGCGAACACAAATAGGAAAAGAACTGGAGTCTCCAGCAGCCACGGGGCTCGGCAAACTGTTCTGACCCCACCTAGGATTCCTCCTCTTCCTGTTATTTTTATTCCTTCGTTGGGGGTAGTACCTTTTCTTTCCAGAGGCTCCTTATTTCCTCCTCTGTTACCCAAGCAATCATAAACAAACTGGGCTTTGAAAGAGAGGTGGGGGGAGCGGGAAGGGGAGGAAGACCACACTGAAAAGAGACAGGCCGTGCAGAACGGGGCTCTTTCTCTGCACATCGTCCTCAGGATGATGTGGGCGCCAAAGCCCGGCCCTGGTGAGGGGTGGGTGGGGAACTTCAGCAAGGACGGAGGAGCGAGGTGCGCGCCCCTGGCACCTCGCAGAGCCGCTGCCCTCCCGAGATCCACCTTGGACCACCAGAATCGCTGGGCCTTCGAAGTTGGTACAGGGGGAGCTGCGGGAGGGGGGCTGGCCTCGGGGAGAACGCTGGACACCCCCCACACACACACAAACACACACGCACCATTATGCAAAACTTACCCCCTACACACACACACACACCCAAACAAAACTAGAGGTAAGAAATCCTTCGCGCTGACCCTGGAGGGCGCGGGCACCTTCCTTCATGAGTCCCAACAGCCCTAGCGAAAAGGCAGCCCAGGGGCACCTGCGGGGGTCCCGCCGCGGCGGCACACCCCAGCCCCGCCCCGCCCCGGGCCGGCCACGCGCAAAAAGTTTGTTCCTTCCCCTCCCCAGCGGGCCCCGGACGGCTCACGAGTGGGTGGGGACCGGGATGGAGCTCGTGGAGGGGGACGAGATCATCCGACTACGAGATGGGGGGGACCCCGGCTTTGTCCCCCTCCCACACACACACCCCTCACACGCGGGGGGCGGGGAGGGGGCCTGCGATGTGTTTACTAATAACAACAGCAACAAAGAAGCACGCGCGGGGCCCCTCGGTGCGAAGGAGAGCTGGGGGCCGATGGGAGGCGAGGGAGGGCAGAGACACAAACCGGGGGGGCTGGGAGGGCGCTGAGGGCGAAGACCCGAGAGTTGGACGGAGCCGAGGGCGCACCGGGAAAAGGAGTGGGTGGGAGCAAAGAGGGAAAGAAAGTGCCGGCGGCGGCGGGCTGGGGCGCGGGGCGCGCCCGGGATGGAGAGGTGCCCCCGGTCCCAGTCCCCCAGCCCCGGCCCGGCCCGGTCACCTTGCTGTAGCCGTAGTACCCCAGGCACTGCGCGAAGTCCAGGCCGGCGGGGTCTCCGGCCGCCGCTGGGTAGAACCTCACATCCATGCCGGAGCCGGGCCCGGGGCCGGGGGCCGGGG